CCGGTATTGAGTATGTCTTTTGAACCTTCTGGACTTTTAATGAGTCAGGAATCTTGCTTTTTATGCATAATGGAACCCTTTAAAAGAGGTATATACCATAAGTTGTACACTAAAAAAATTGCTCATGCTGTAGTCTATCTTTAAATATTGTGACAGCACCACAACTAAGTTTAATCACTTCTTAAGTAAATAACAAAATGTATTACATTAAGCAGCTGGTTATTCGTCATCAATGAAAATCTCACTCAGACTGGAACACATTCCAGAGTCTTGTGGTAGGCTCAGTCTTCCTTAACCTACCGCACACTTACTGTAAGTTCTGCCTACCTCACAGCAGTAGAGTTTCAGCTAATGTCAGATAACAATGCATTAACCTTGTCGATCAATTTCAATCAATCAGTGCACTACCATCTGGCTTACAATGAAACGACAGTCCCCTCTCAGGCCAAAAAAGAAGTCAAGACAAAGCCTCAAAAACCAAGATGTATGCAGTGACCTAGAACAAGCAGCTCTGAGGTCAGGATCTGACCAAAATCAAACGTTAAAGCAGCCGAGACCAGCGTGGTTGCCTCATGCCTCAAAACTTCTGATCCATCAACATACAGTATAAATTCATTTCAACTGCTTTTGAAGAATGAACCTCTAAAATGTCTGGCGTGAGAGTATATGTCTTTTGAGTTAAATTTGAACGGGAAGTTAAGCTACAGTCAAACAAATTGAAAGGTTCGAGATGTCTAAAAACAAAAAAGCGAAGGTCATTCATTTACAATGGCTTAATTATGGACTAATTATACAATCCATGGTATAACTTGGATGCATGTGCAATAATTTCTTAAGCACATGGTTTATAGATAAAAGAGTAATACAAATGTGGATCCTGCTGAAAATTGTATGTTCTAAATTGAAAATAAAGAGAAAAAAGAGAAAACATTATAAAATAAAACCTTTAGGACTGTTTGTCTTTTTTTATCTTGGACTGTATTTGCTTCAGTTAAAGGGACGATTCACACAAAAAATGAAAATGTCCTGTTAGATTATTCAGTGTCAGGCAATCAAAGATTTTTTTAGCTGCAAGAAACAGAACATTAGTTAATTAATACATTTATTTTCCCTTGCCTTGGTCCCTTATTTATCAGGGAGCGCCACAACGGAATGAACCTGATGCCTACCAGCCACAACCAAGTACTGGGACTAATCAAAATACTATCACATTCACATACTCATAAACTACGGCCAATTTTGCTTACCCAATTCACTTATAACACATGTCTTTGGACTGTGGGGTAAACAGGAGCACCCGAAGGAGACCCACATGAACATGGGAAGAACATGCAAATCAGCAACCTTTTTGCAGTGAATCGACAGCGCTAATCACTGAGCCACTATGCAGCCCGAAACAGAATATTATTTACAAAAATTTGTTTAAGATCTTTAAAAGAACATTTGTGACCCTTTAGAAAACCAGTCATAAGGGTGATTTTTTTAAAAAAAAATGTGTGATTATCTTTAAAAATGTTTTATAAAGACATCTTGTTGATTTATCTGTAAATATATCAGAAATGATTTTTTTGATTAGCAATGTACAGGGGTTGGGAAATAAAACTGAAAACCCTGGTTTTAGACAACAAAAATGTATTAGTACTGTGTTGTGTGCTATACAGTATCTCAGAAAAAAGGTACGCAAACTGGGGTGGTACCTTTTCAAAAGGTACACGTTTGTATTTAAAGGGTACATATTGGTACCTCAAAAGAATATATATTAGTACCTAAACATTTTAAGAGGAACACTTTTGTACTTTTTAGGTATAATAGTACCCTTGAGGTATTAATATGGACCTTTTAGGTACAAATTTGTGCCTTTTGAAAAGGTACCACCTCAGTGACAGCTCGCGTACATTTATTTCTGAGAGTGTATTTTCTGCATTAAATACAGCATCAATTTGTCTTGGGAATGACAGACACAAGTACTGGACAGTAGCAAGAGGGATTTTAAACCATTCTTCCAGAATAGGTCACTGCGTGATGCTGGTTGAGGAAAAAGTCTCCTTACTCGCTGCTCCACAACACCCCAAAAAGGCTGAAAAATAAACAGATCTGATGACTGTGCAGGCCATGGGAGATGTTCAACTTCACTTTATGTCTATCAAACCCCTCCACTTACCCGTTTTGCTCTGTGTATTTGGTGCATTATCATCCTGACAAATGGCAACTCCTTTAGGATACAGTATTTGAACCATACATGGTCCCCCAGAATGGTTTGATAGTCTTTCGCAGTGACGTGCCCATCTAGCACAAGTATTGGGCCTATAGGGAATGCCATGATATTGCAGCCCAAATCATCACTGATCCACCCCAATGCTTTATATTGGATATGCAAAAGTCTGGGTAATACACTTCTTTGGGATTTCTCCTCAATGTTACTCTCCTGGATGTGGGAAAGACAGGGAAGGTGGACTCATCAGAGAGCAGTACATGGCCAAAGCCCAAGATGTTTGCTGCTGGCACCATTGAAATCAACATTTGGCATTGGCATGAGAAACAAAAGTTTTGGCTATAACAGCCCAGCCATGTATATTGACCCTGTGGAGCTCCCGACAAACAGTTTTGATGGAAACAGGAGAGTTGAGGTGCACATTTAATTCTGCAGTGAGTTGGACAGCTGTGGTTCAATGTTTTTTTTTATTTTTATGATTGAATCCGGGTTAGCACTTGAACATCTCTTTCAGCTTCCTCTTGCATACACAGTTATTCCTGTTGGATGTCCTTCTTGGTGGCATGCTGACATTAGACTAGATACCGTGGCTCTTGATACATCAAAAATACTTGCTGTTTTGGTCACCGATGCACCATCAAGACACGCACCAACAATTTTCTTTTAAACTCTGTAAGTTGACAGTTTACATCATGTAAACCATACTGTTTTGTGAATTGCAGTATTTTAAGCAAAAACTGTGCTATTACTCGGCTGATTGTCAGATTTTCAGTTTTATTGTCCAATCCCTGCATATTACAAATCAAAAATTATGTTTTGATAGATTTACAGATAACAATGATTAAAACTTTCCTTGGAGCATGATCTTTACTTAATCTTGTAATGATTTTGGTATTAAACAAAAATAAAATATTAAAATTGATACACTGTATTTCTGGCTGCCACAAATATACACTTGCAATATAAAATATCTGGTTTTGTTGACTTTTTGAAAATGCCAAATTACTTTTTAATGAAAATGCTGGTGAAAAAATAAGTAAAGAGAAAAAGGTAGCCTAACAATCTACTTAATTATAATTACCATTTAAAAGTTTGAATGGAGTTTTTGCTAGATGTATTATTCTTTTGAAAACCAGACAGAACGGTTGGCCAAATCCTATTGTGTACTTAAAGGGAAAGTAATGAACACTCACTGCAGAAGGTAGAGTTATCTAAATGTTTCCATGTTCCTACTTTCAATACTTTATTAAAGCAGGATTGCTTTAGGCTTGATGGATGTATCTACTTAATTTATTTTTAAAGTATTAAACACATTAATTCTGCTCAGGTCAGAATTTGGCATTCGACGTGAAGTAAAAGTTTGAACCCAGAACTGTCCCATCTGTCATTGAAAGCACTTTCATTGCAGCATTTCATGAAACAAGATATATTACAGTATGTGAAGAGTTTCTTTGTTTCAGTTACTTTTATTGTTTCCCTCTGCATTCTCAAAGGCATTTTGCATGGCCTCAATTTATTGTGGGATAACATAATGATGGTTAATGTGTTCTGAATTTTAGTGACAATTACCGCTGTTATGCTGTCAATTATATATTTAAACATTATATTGAAAAAAGAGACTGCCTGCTGGATTATATAGCCACCACCTGTCCGATGACTTTTAAAAAGTAATTATTTTCAGACGTCTGTGGCGATTGGATCATTTTAAGAATGTTTCTGGAAGATATTCCGACTTGGCCATGAAAACTCATACTGTAGCTCTTATTCATGTGGATGGTATCTTTTCTGGCTATCTTGAGTAATTTGAAATGGGCTACTTCAGGTGAACAATTTGTTATCAATGTTAAAAATATATATTTTTTTCTGTCTCAAAGAAATATTTGACTAGTTTGATAAGTGCTACTGTTGTTACATTTTATTCCAGCCTTTTTATACACTTAAATGAATAATTCACCAACCACAGAAAATTTTGCCATCAATTCTTCCCATACTTGTTTCAAACCAGTTTGTCTTTTTTTGCTTTATTGAACTCAAAATAATTTTAAAGTAAGCTGGAAACCTGTAACCATTGACTTTATAGTATTTGTTTTTAAAATTGAAAGTCAATGGTTACAGGTTTTCAGCTTTCTTCAAAATAGCCTATATTTTGCATTCAACAGAATAAAGAATTTATAAATAATTGGAACCACTTGAGGGTATAAGTAAATAAAAATTGTTGAGTGAACAATCCCCTTAAAACAACTTGCTATTTTTAAGCTGAATTTAGTTAAATATGAATAAATCCAACTGTTTTGTTAACATTTGAGCTATCATTAAAAATGTTAACCCAGCAACTGGGTTTGTCCATATTTAACCCAAATTTGTATTGAAACTGACTATGCCAACATTTTTTTTTTTAGAGCAAAATGGAAATCAAATTCTATTTTAAATTAAACACAGACTACAGACAGGAAGAATACACATTCATCAAAAATACATTCACTTCCAAGTAACAGAAGAACGTGTTGCTTTGGAGTCTTTATCCAGTCCTGTAACACAGAATCAAGATTCAAAGATGAAAATCCATCCTAGGCAAGTCTCTGTGACTGTGACTCTCTCCTCCTGTAAACCGGTGTCCCTTCCCCATCATCCCGGTGTCGTATCCCTCAGAGCAGATACACCTTTGCTCTGAGGTTTCGGGGGAACGGTGTCAAACTTTTGAAGCACTCGTCAAAATAATGGGCGGATCTTTCCAAGACGGCCGTTTTTCCCTTGTTCATTTCTTTTTCCTCACGGGTCAGGTTTAGTCCACACGTCCAACCCTCCAAAAAGACTTGGGCTCTTCAGGGAACAAACGGGTTTCCCTTTTTTTCACAAGAGCCCGTTTACCTTCAGTCTGAGCGTCTGCTGGGCGGAGGGACTGTGGAGTTTCTTCACGACGTAAAACCAATTGATATTTTCGCTCATGGCAATGCAGAAATAATTGACAATAATCTGGATTGAGTAAAAAGGAACGATTTTGAAATTAAGACGCAGTTGAGGGGCTCCGGTCATGGATAAGGATAAGGAAAGGTGGTCCACGAGATGGAAAACGAAAAAGTGTCTCAGGAACTCCGTTTTAAGTGCAATCTTCAGTCTGACTTTTGTCCTACAGGCAACACAAGTGAGAGCAGGTAAGGCTGAGGAGCATCGTTCACGAGTGATGGTGCTAGCCTTCAGTATAGCTTGTTTAATTCTTTAAGGTAGGCAATTTCTAATGAGTATGTTCCTGCGTCAAAATATAATTAAAACTTTGTTTATAACGTGGAAATATTATTGGCTGTGGCTCAAAAACTACCGAGCTGCCTACCTAGACAGCTGATCGTATCACAGGCGCGGTCAGAACTAAAATGCATTTTTTTAGAGTTCAGTCTCTATGAGAAGTGTTTAAAATAATATTTTAAGCATCATCTTGCCTGAAATTGCTGCCTCGTGGTATTAAATGATTTGATGAGAAAATGTAATGTGTCTTTGTATTTGATGTCTTTACAGCACTGGCTGTTTATTTATATTATTATACTTATATATTTAATTTAATGCATGATACAGCGTTTTAAATTATGCAACAAACAGTTTACAAACAAAATTATTTTAAGGTGAAGGTTTCTTTAAAAAAGTTTTATTTGTTTATAGATTTTAAGGCCACTGGTGGCCTGCAGATTAATTGAACATATACAAACACATTTTAATGTAGGATATTGTCCCAATTAGATTAAATTGCTAATCTGGCAACTATTATATTTGACCTGTTGAGGCAGCATTCATCAATTCATGATTCAACTGCACTACCCTGTACACACAAGTAAGGCACTCCAGTGCCCAGAATTAAATCAGAAAAGTTTATTGCTCAGACAGAAAGAGAGAGAGAGAGAGAGAGAGAGAGAGAGAGAGAGAGAGAGAGAGACCGTTTCTCCACACTATCCCAGTCCACACTAAAGACCAGTCATCTGTCAGACAGCCACTGTAGAATTGTTCTGACACATTGTCTACTTAATGTTGCCTAATACATCATTTGTACATTTAGTCCTCTCTAATAGCCTAATAGAAAAATAAAAACACACATCATATTGTTCTGTCTCGACTTTGGTTTTTAGTCTGGTGTTTCATATTACAAAATACAATATGATAAAATACACACTTTGTAAAATGACATTGCTTTTTTCCTGATGGCCATTTCAGACATGAAACATACCTCTTTCAAAATGGCTGCCTGATAATGTCTTCACCACATTTCTATTCTGCAGGCCAATTTGGGAGGTGGGGAATTTTGAAAGTGGAAAAAAAATAAATAGTGAGCTTTCACATTTTTGGTTTAATTATCATCCTGACCACGGCTACTTTCCATGAACGAAAGACACTTTTTTAGCTCACATATTTGAGATTGTTTGTTTGACATGAAGATATCAGCAAGTTCACATGAAATATTGGCCACACCCACATGGATATCCAATACTTCAACCAATAAGGGCGGAAGACTTTTTTTTGTGTTTGTCGTTTGTTTTATTATGAAGTAGATGTGTGACATTTAATTGCTAGTCGGAATGGTTGTTTCTTGCAATCTAATAAGTGTTTGACTGCATGTGTTCAAGAATTTACTTTAAGTTTAAAGTCAATTCAGAGACTGAATTATTCAGATGATAAATGATTGAACAAAAGGGTTTTGTCATTTTTTATAGTAAAAAGACTGCCATGTAATAGGTCTCTACACAGGAACTGTAAAATACAAAGAAAAGGTCCAGCATTTTTAATTTTGGATGTGCATTTGAAGAAATGTGCTTATTTGCTGCAATAATGGATTTTGGATACAGACATTTTTTAAGAGCTTCTGTGAGAGGGGGGTCCAGTTCCTGCCAATTCTCCACATCTGGAATATATGAGGCCTTTAGGTATGCAGTAATGCTGAGAGGCATTCTGAAGAGCACAAAGAGACCTTTAGTTTGGAGTTAAGAAAAGAAAAAACAGTAGCACTGCGTTTTTGAGAGAGACTTGTAAGAGTTACAGATTATTACCCTCTCCTTTAAGAGCTTGGATGCCTTTTATTCAAAGGCTTTTTTTTGCCTCTGGTTTAGAATGATAATACAGAGGGCAGCTCTTTGTTTTGTCAGTGGGGGTGATGCTGAATGGAAACTCTCAACAGAGTGATTTTTACAAAGCTACATTAAGACCTCACCGCATCATTAAGCTCACAAGCTTGCACGCGGATGTAGACATGCTAGGCTTATTGTGCACAGCTGTTTTAGTGTTATCAAGAAAATTAAGCTGTTTAAGGAGAATATTCCACATTTTTTTTGAAAAAAAAAAAAAAAAAAAAAAAAAAATATATATATATATATATATATATATATATATATATATATATATATATATATATATATATATACATATATATACAGAAGTTTGGGTTTGTAAGATATGTTCATGTTTTTGAAAGATGTCTGCTAATCAATACTGTATTTATTTGATTAAAGATACATTAAAAAAGAGAAATAGTAATACAGTTTTGTATGAATAATTTTGATAAAATAAAATAAAAATAAAGCAGTCGTTATTCTAGTGCCACGGCATCCATCAAAAGTAATTTATTGCTTAAGCATTTCTTATTATTATTTTAATTTAATATTAGCAGTTGACATGCTTACTATTCTAATCAAATTATATATATATATATATATATATATATATATATATATATATTATTTGCCAGTTTGTTTAATTATATGCATCCCTACTAAATAAAAATATTATTTTTCTTATGATCTTATTAATAATGAATTACTGATTCATATTTTTGTGTAAACATTTTTAAGGATTCTTTAATCCCTAAATTCTAACTTTTATTTTGAAAGAGACATCTCTTGTAATATTGTACAACAATATTGTATAACGTCATTGCTCAGTAAAAGTATTCAATTCATTCAAATAAAATCATGTAGGCCTTTCAGAGAGGAAGAACAATGCACTTGTGCTTTCAGTGCATTAGGACTTGGTGGTGGTATATTGAGGCAAAGCTATCTGCAGGTTTTGCCATGCTGACACCATAATGTGTTCAGTATGTTCACTAACCCTAAAAAAGCACCACCCTTCAGCTTCTGGCCACATATGTGGAACAGGAACTAGCGGATCAGCACTTCCTGCACACTCTTACCATATGGTTAAGAAAAATAATGGGGAAAAAAGTAAACGTTTCTCTCATATCTTTTCAAGTCTGCCTTATTTTAGCAGGAGAAGAGCCTTCAGAATATTTTGGTTCTGATCTTGACCTACTAAAGTAATAAAATATAATTAAATCGGTCTGTGATGACCAAGCGTCTGACTGACTTTCCCTTGTGTCTGTTATTAACAAAAACAGCTCCTAGCCTCCTACAGTACATTTTTATAAAGGTTTTGTCGGTTTTATTGTGGCTTGTGCACAGTGTTATAGGGCTGATCTATCAAAAGCCTTACGCATAATTCTTCTAAAGTGTTTTCCCAGGCTTAGTTGAGTGGGACACGGTGGAAAATGAGCCCTTTTGTGATGTCAGACCGTATGAAAACAAAACTCTGATTCTAATCCAACACTAAGAAAGAGAGGAGAGAGTAATGAGTCTTAGCAACTAGTCATTCTTGTTTATACAGTTTATTGTTTTTAGGCCTTTGAAAGAGATACTTCCTGTCTGCTGCCTGACCAGCCGACAAATATGTCCACTTGACTTGACTCAGAAGTTTATGCAGTCTCTAGTAGCGGGGGAGTCAGAATTGGAGGATTTATGTGCAGGTCATTCATTCAGCCTTAGATCCCATACCCTTAAAGAAACACTCTACTTTTTTTTTTTTTTTTTTTTTTTTTTTGGAAAAGGCTCATTTTACAAAAATTAAAGAGAACAGTTTCAAATCCATTCAGCATTTAGGTATAGTGGGAGCACTTTTAGCTTAGCTTAGCATAAATAATAGAATCAGATTAGACCATTAGCATCTTGGTAAAAAAAATTTTCAATAATTTTCTTATTTAAAGCTTAACTCTTCTGTTGTAACATAATTTTCTAAGACCAACATAAACTGACACTTTACTCTAAACTCTAATGGTCTAATCAGATTCAATGAATTATGCCAAGCTAAGCTTAAAGTGCTCCTGCCAGTCCCTGAGGAAAGCTGAATGGATAAAAAAAAAAATTAAGTTTACTCTTCTGGTGTGCGACCTGCTTAAGGGTGCTTTCACACCTGTGAATCGATTTATCTGTCTTTAAATCGATTCAAAGAGTTTCAAAGAGTCCCGCTCAGCTGTCAGGGGGGGTGGTGGTTTGGTGGTGTTTGACAGGGTGCGTGCAACATGTCCGAAGAGCGAGGAGGTATGCAGTGAGCAGGGGTGAGAAGGGTGCGTGACGTATTTAAGGGTCGGGAGGGAGACTTGGGATTTCTGGAATGACTCAAAATACTCAAAATTCTCTCTTCATATAGCCGTATGCCTATTACATATCCATAAAACAATGTGATGTAGCCAGGCTCAGATCGTATCGCTTTCTCACTACAATCGATCCGCTCCAGAGCGCGTTTCAAACGAGTCGAGACCACCTCATTCAGGCAATCTCAGAGTGATTTTTTTTGGCACGGATCCGAGCGTGATTGCTGGATTTACATATGCCAAACAAACCGCGCTAACTGGGCAGGTTCCGCAGCAAAAGTCTAGGTGTGAAAGCACCCTAAGAGAGGTCACTTATCTCCGCATTTAAAAAAAAAACATTTTTAAATATGCACCATCTTTATAAATAAATCACAGATTTGACTTTTAAACAACTACATTCTTGCATGAAGAACCGCTAAAACTTAATTTCATGAAACAATTATAGAGCCATCGAAGACAGGGCGTCACCCCTGGAAGTCAGAATCTCCACTATCGCCAAAGTACACTTAAAATTAAACACAATCTTTATAAATAAACCACAGGGTTGAGTTTTGAAGAACTACATTCTCACATGAAAAACTGTTAAAACTTAATTTCTTGAGATATTAAAAGCAATATTTAGGCTATTATATTATGTGGGTTTTCTAATCCACCATTACATATTGCTTGTTGGTGCGAAGTGAGTTCTGGGAAAAAAAATTAATTCTCAAAACACTCCAAACGAACATTATTGTTTTTGGTAAAGTCTGATATAATGTTTTTGCTGGCAAAGAACAACAAAAACATTTTGTACTTGTTCTGTTCAGCTGTTAAACTATAATGGTCTAATCAGATTCAATGAATTATGCTAAGCTAAGCTAAAAGTGCTCCCGCCAGTCCCTGAGTTCAGTTGTATGGATTAAAAAAATTATAAAACTCAGCTGTTTAACTCTAAGAGACTTGTAAAATGAGCCTAGTTTTAAAAAAAAATGTAGCGTGCTCCTTTAAACCCTCTCAGATTCAGAGACTTTACCGTGGTGATGACAAACAGATGCATTTTAGAGGCTTGTGTACGGATAGTGATGGATGTTGGTAAACCAGCTGATGGTCTTATCTCCTTGACCTTGCGCACATCCTCATTCATCAGACTCAAGTGAGGCTGGAACTTTTCCTTTTCGTGGCATCAAAGACGAGGCCGAAAAGACTCAAGCCGTGCAATAAATCAGTGTGACATTACAGAGTCTGCTTTACACTACCAGGTCCTAAATTGCCATATTAATCAAATCATAAATCTCTCGGCCGGTTTAAGCATTAGCATAGATTTGTTAAGGATCATTAGAAATGGGCCATTTTGTGGGGCGCTGGCTGAGCGAAAGCAGAACCTTGTGCGTATGACATATATGGCGGAAGCAGCTTGATGAAGTGTATTACCTGACATATTGGTGGACTTGAGCTGCTTGTAAAGTTTAGCCCGTGCTGAGCTGCCATAACAGTAGAGGAGCACTAGTGACCGGGACTAGTGATTTCTGGAATGTTTGGCTTTGTAGATGGATCTGCATGGAGGGGGGTCAATTATCCCTACTGGATATTTCTTCACATCTTTACGGCTGTGCTGCTCAGGCTCCTTGTAAAAGTACAATTGCTTCATTGACAGTTATAACACATATGCGAAGGTGGGGAATTGGGTACAGTAAAGCTGTCGCTCTGAGTTAGCGTTATTGCGAAATGACAAAGTTTTTTTTTAGGGAATTGTTTGTTCAGATGGAAAAATGGCGCCCACGCAGTAAAAAAAAAACATTACACATTTCATAATCTATGGATTTTTAACATTTATTTATGTTTATCGATTGCATTATGGGACATTTATCTCAGCTCTGTTCACTTTTGGTGTAGAACATTTAACTGGGCAGTTTAACAAAGTGACTTTTATTGACATTTTAGAATTTTGAAACAATAAATTGCATAAGAGAATATTGAGAATTCCGTACAATAACATAACAAGTACTGCCAGTTTATTGCCAGGCTATTTTTAAGCCCTAAATTACAAAAGGAACCCAGGTAATATATCACTTTTATAAAAAATAGCCTTTTAAAAATGTCAACAAAAGACAAATCAATCAATCAAATTTTCAAACTTTTTAATGTCAAAAGTTAATTAAGATTCTATAATTCAATTTAAAAGCATACATAAATTATAAAATAACTGAAACAATCTTTGAATCACAAAATATAATGAACTGTCAGTTAACAGATATTTTATATTGCATTAAAGTCCCCACTTGTTGAAGGATAATTGACTGTGTATATTCTGACTCTTAATATTCAAAGACAAATGAGCCCTGTTGCATAAGGGAAAGCCGTAATAGAGGTTGACAATATGTATTGAAACTGGCTTCTTGTTTTTAAACTTGGATAATGTTGTAAAATTACATAATAACCCAACTGTACTTGGAAGCAATTGTGAAATGTAAACGGCTGGACATTAATTTCCATTTTACAAGTATATTTCTGACAACAGCAGTTTTATAGCAGAGTGGTCTCTTCAATCTGCTAGACAAATGGAAAGTGTCTTTGGATAGTGCTGCTCAATTTTTTCCTAAATGTTTTTGTCATATTTTTGATAATATTATTGTATGCACTGACAGACACAGAGGTGATAATGTTCCTGTAGATTTTTTTTCCTCATTTCTCATCTAGCTGTTTGTTAACAGAGTTATTGCCTGCTGTAAAAAAAAGAAAGGAATAAAAACTCCTGTTAATTTACTCACCTTTTAGGCAATCCAAGATTTAGTCAATTTTTTTTTCTTCAGTTGAACATAAAGCAGACTATTTTGAAACTGTGCTAAAATAAAATAAAATAAAATATTTTAAATTAACTAATTTAAATTCAATTAAATAAAATAAAATGAGCTGATGAGGCGAAATAGAAAAAGATACTTTTTGCTAAAATAAATATGAAACAAAAAAAATATATATATATTTTTAAATATTCAGTTTTTTTAAACTTGTTTTTACTTTAACTTTAAATTATTTAATTTCAATTCAATAAAATTCCCTGGCAAAACAAAATGAATACCCTTGGTTAAAGGTAAGAAAAAGATAATTTTTTAGCTGAAATAAGTACTGTGCGACAATGAAATTAAAAATTAAATTAAATTAAATTAAATTAAATTAAATTAAATTAAATTAAATTAAATTAAATTAAATTAAATTAAATTAAATTAAATTAAATTAAATTAAATAAAGGGCAAGGCATCTGCTGCGTAAAAACTTGCTGGATAAGTTGGCGGTTCATTTCGCTGTGGTGACCCCGGATTAATAAAGGGACTAAGCCGACAAGAAAATTAATGAATGAATGAAAATAAAATAAAATAATATGAAATAAATTTCAATAAAATAGTTTTAAAGACTTAAATAAATAAATACAAAAAAAATTTTTTTTGCTGAAACCGTGCTAAAATAAAATTAAATTAAATGAAATTAAATTTAGTGTTGAAAAACATTTTTTTATATATAAAATATTGTTTTTTACTTTTTTTTTTAATTATTTAAATTCAATTCAATAAAATTAACTACCAAAACAAAATGGATACGGGTGACGCAGTGGCGCAGTAGGTAGTGCTGTTTTCTCACAGCAAGAAAGTCGCTGGTTAGAGCCTCGGCTGGGTCAGTTGGTGTATCTGTGTGGAGTTTGCATGTTCTTCCTGCGTTTGTGTGGGTTTCCTCCGGGTCTTCTGTTTTCCCCCACTTTTGATACAGGTGAATTGGGTAGGCTAAATTGTCTGTAGTGTATAAGTGGGTATGGATGTTTCCCAGGGATTGGTTGCAGCTGGAAAGGCATCCGCTGCGTAAAAAATGTGCTGGATAAGTTGGCAGTTCATTCTACTGTGGCGACTCCAGATCAATAAAGGGACTAAGGCAAAAAGAAAATGAATGAATGATTGAACAAAATGGACACACTGTAAAAAAAAAAAAAAAAATCCGTAAATTACGGTTTATTTCTGGCAGCTGGGGTTCCGGAAAAAAAAAAAAAAAAAAAAAAAAAACGTAATATAACAGGCTTAAAATTACAGAAATTTACTGTAAAATAGAAAACCTTAAACTACAGAAATTTACTTAGATTTAAATTTCTGGTACATTTCTGTAATACTAACTCTGTTATTTTGAAGTAAATTTTTGTATTTTAATATCCGTTATTTTACAGTTTATTTCCGGCACCCTAGCTGCCAGAAATATATCGTAAAATTATGTTTTTATTTTTTAAAAAACTTTTTACAGTCCCCTTGGTTAAAACTAAATAAAGATTATTTTTGCTAAAAATAGTTTTGTGCTACAATAAAATAAAATAAAATAAAATAAAATAAAATAAAATAAAATAAAATAAAATAAAATAAAATAAAATAAAATAAAATAAAATAAAATAAAATAAAATAAAATTATTGAAATTAAATTCAGTTTAATTAACTGGCAAGGCAAAATGATTTCTGATGATACATCAGGATCTAAAGAAAAGGGATCAGCCTGTACAAGGAATTGAGCATTTTTAAAAACATTATTATCTCTCAGAAAGCAGTTTTAAGTGCATTCACAAAGCTTCATATACATTATTACATGACAGGACACACTCTAGCTATAGTGAACTTGCTTATGAATTTACTTGTTTACGAGGCTGTGTTTAAATTAATAATGATTAACATCAATGTCAAATCAAACATCAGTTTGTTCTTGTTCATTTTCTTCTCATTATCATTGTCATGATTATTATTTTGTGTGTGAAACATTCCCTTAAATTTGATAAACCAATGTAAATAACTGAACACATGTTGTGTTGTAGTATGTGGGCAAATGATTGCTGCTAATAATGTTTGATCACCAATGAAGTTGACAAGCGCTTTGATCCCAGCTCTCAATGTTCTGCCTCACAGCTGAACCCGTGGATGTGCTCAAGGTCTTAGACTTTAAAAGTTCACCTGAAGGAGTGAAGAAAACACCAGGCTTCTGCACCATCCGCAGAGGATCCAAACCAGATGTGGCCTACCGAGTGGACAAACGGGCCCAAATCAGCGCCCCAACCAAGCAGCTCTTCCCAGGTACGTGAATTGCGCTAATCTGTAGACAGACAATCATCCTTACTCTTAAATAAAGTGACTGTTCTGCTTGGGCAAGGCTTTAGGTCAATTCTAAATGTGCTGTAATTGGTTTGCTCTTGGAAAGTGAAGTTTGAAGTCTTTCCTTTTCTTCTCTTTGAAATGCATCCAACAGGAAGTACATAATGTAGCTTGACCGCCATGGTTAAATGCATTTGGACTGTTTACAAAGCTAGAAGTCTGATGCCCATTCTTTGATGAAGGAATTGAAACCATGTTTAAGAAACAGAAGTCTACTAGGAAAGGAAGAGATTGTATATTTGGCTACTGTTCGGACCAACAACGGCTCATTAGAAAAAAACAATCATTTAGCCTATATTTCCCTATATCTCATACATACATTCATTAAAGTTTACAGTTTAAATGAACTATGCACGGTAAGTGGCAGACAAAACACAAGCATTTAGTCCATTTTCACACAATTTTTGCATACTGTAATAGTATATGTACTACAAAACATCCCCATACTGTACTTCAGTGTTATGTTATAGGTTTTATATTATTTTTAAGCAAATCAAATACAACCCTTTTAGCATAACTCATTGAGTTTAAGTTGTTCTTTTGTTTAAGTTGCTTTTGAGTGTAATACTAGAGTACTAGCTAACCCTTGCTGACTGTAGGCCTAAGGCTGATTTATACTCGACGCTTTCACTAGTTTGCTTGAGTGCACGCGACGACTTCGACGTCAGCGCGGTATTTGTGGAGGTTTGCTTTGGGTGCGCATGACGAGACTTGAGCGAACAGTGAACAATTTCATTTGAGTTAAATATGAATCACTTTAAAGAGTATTTGCCTGAAACAGGTACGCCTGTACAGACATCTATGATCCGTCTAATAATTTTTGGCTATAGAAATTGCAACAGCAGTGGGAAGGAAAGAAAGTTTTCTGTAAACAGTTTAGAAAATCTTGAGTGATACGTTTTTTAAAAACCAAAAAGAGAGGCCATGGCATAAGCGGAGACCCATGTGGTTTTAATAAACAATTACAGAATATGTTTTTCCACCATTCATAGGTTTTACACTGATGTATATATTTCTATTTAGAATTTAAAACAATTTAATAGCTACAAAACTAAAATACTGATGCCCTATTTTTCTAGGTTTTGCTGGTGATAATGGTCAGGAATATTGGACCAATAATGTCTTTTTAGCAAATAAGTAGAGGACACAAACTAGCCGGACAGTAATGTGTAAATTGTGAAGTGGGCTTTAAAAAATTCTATATTTTTTAGTAGTGTACTTTTTTTTTTTTTGCTTTTATTCTTTCCATGATAAAAATATATTTGTAGAGCAGTATATGTTCTGTTATCATCAATATTTTATTAAACTTTAACAGGTAGAACTGTCTGAGATATGAACAAAAGCAAATGATGTTTCACCCTGATGATCCCTCGGACATTTCACACTGGATGAAAGATCATCATCTTCAGCTTAACCTCGCGAAAACGGAAATGCTTGTAGTTTCTGCCAACTCGACTCTACACCATAACTTTTCAATCCAGATGGATGGGGCAACCATTACTGCATCCAAAATGGTGAAAAGCATTGCAGTAACGATTGACGACCAACTAAACTTCTCTGACCACATTTCTAGAACTGCTCGATCGTGCAGAGTCGCACTCTATAACATCAGAAAGATCTGACCCTTCTTATCTGAACATGCAGCTCAACTCCTTGTTCAAGCTCTTGTTCTCTCCAAACTGGATTACTGCAACTCTCTGCTAGCGGGGCTTCCAGCTAACTCTATCAAGCCTCTTCAGCTGCTCCAGAACGCAGCAGCACGAGTGGTCTTTAATGTTCCTAAAAGAGCACATGTCACTCCGTTGCTCATCCGTTTGCACTGGCTGCCAGTTGCTGCTCGCATCAAATTCAAAGCTCTGATGTTTGCCTACAAAGTGACTTCTGGCTTTGCTCCTTCTTATCTGCTCTCACTTCTGCAGATCTATGTGCCCTCCAGAAACTTGTGTTCTGTGAATGAACGTCGCATCATCGTTCCATCCCAAAGAGGGAAGAAATCACTTTCCCGAATTATCACATTCAATCTGCCCAGTTGGTGGAATGAACTCCCTAACTGCATCCGAACAGCAGAGTCACTCGCTGTTTTCAAGAAACGACTAAAAACTCAACTATTTAGTCTCCACTTCACTTCCTAATCTGCAATTGCCTCTCTGGATATACCACTAACTGTACTCAAAAAACAAAAATGAAATAAAAAAATTACTAATGCTTTCCTTCTTAGACTTTACAGACCTGAAACTTGCCTATAGCACTTATTCATTGTTGCTCTTATAGTTGTGTAAATTGCTTCCTTGTCCTCATTTGTAAGTCGCTTTGGATAAAAGCGTCTGCTAAATGACTAAATGTAAATGTCTCAAAGGTTAATTTTAAAATATCTTGAATGGGTATAAAAATCTTTATCATGATCAAAATAATGTATAAAAATAATAAGAAATAATTTGTTAAAAAATCTTAATTGATATTAATTATATGACGTAGTTCCAAAACTTCCTACTTCTGCGACTTTACGGTTGCTTTCTTTTGACTGCCCCCTGTCATTTCAAAGAATATCATGACGACGAATGCATTAAGTATTTACCTCATCTGTTTCATCAGGTGCGCGCACAGTTAGCGGAGATCCTCAACGCGGCGTCAGCCAAAAGTAAAAATCAGCCTTTAACGGTGTACAACGCACAAAGCTTTTACCCACTGCAAAAAAAAAAAAAAAAAATGTTTTACACTTGTTTCTAGTCCAAATTCTTAAATCGAAAAGCATTTTCTAGACAGTTAAAAAAATTGTCTTATTTACAGAATTAATATGTGAAAAACTAAGTGAGTTTTTCCTTATAGCCAATGGGATTAGCTAAATATTCTTGCTTTTGCTTTGAACTACACTGTTCCAGTTTCTATGACCATTTATGTAAAGCTGCTTTGACACAATCTACATTGTAAAAGCGCTATACAAATAAAGCTGAATTGAATTGAACTGAATTTTGCTTTGAAATAAGATATTTTGTTACCCCGTTGGCAGATTATTTTGCTTGTTTTAGGGTAAAACTCACTTTATGTTTAGCCTGTGTAAAAATGTTTTTTGATTTAAGCATTTTTAGATACTTGGACAAGAAACAAGACAAAACTCTAATTAAGGAAAGCAGTTTTGCAGTGCATGCTAGTAATAAAAACAAATAATCAATGAATTAATCAGTGTGTTATGTTTCCTGAAAGTCCATGGTCAGCATCTTTTACAAATACGCTGTTTCAAATTTCTAATTATGCACTCATTCTATAACAGCAACATCATATAGGCTACATTTACTAGTTTAGTCCCATTAACTTGGCCCTTCTGTTCTATGTGTGTTGGGCATTTTCCAATTTGGCCCGACCGCAAAGGGTAACTGAGGCACAAAATAGCAGGAGATTAAATTAACAATTTGATTTCTGTGATTTTTGGCCGAAACTAAATCGCCTCCAAACCTTATGGTTTCAGGACTGGAAATTTCAGCTAAATAGCACGTTGTCGAAGAACGAGAAAATCTCCCTCAAAGTTGGCAAAGAAGAGCAGCACTTCAGAGATTGATAGTTTGAGTTTTAGTTCCACTCCAGTGTGCATGCAACCAGTTTAATAGTAAATCCGTTATGTTTTCTGACACCTTGTTAAGTTAATGTGCCAACAAAAAAAGACAAACTGTTTCATACTTCATAAAAACCCCACGCTACATCCAGTGTGAGAAAATGGTTGTTGTAAAAACTCTCAGTGCTAATATGCTCATTTCCAATGGATGAAAAATCAATAACAGCTGATGTTTAACCCACAATGCCTTTCTTATGTCTTCAGGAGGAGTATTCCCTGAGGATTTCTCCATCCTTATGACTATCAAGCCAAAAGCGGGAATACAGTCCTTCCTTTTGTCGGTGTACAATGAGCAGGGCATCCAGCAGCTGGGTGTGGAGGTGGGCCGCTCTCCGCTCTTCCTGTATGAGGATCAGCATGGGAAACCTGCTCCGGAGGATTACCCCCTTTTCCGTGCCATCAACCTCGCAGATGGAAAGCAAGTTGACTCTTTATTTGAAAACTTTTAATCTGTGAGAATGTTTTTGGTGGATAAAGCCATGATCCACATATGACCAAAAATATAAAGGTTTTGGCATTAAATGATCCATTTTTTTTAATGGATAAAGCCGTGATCTATCTTCTTTTTTAATGTTTTATTTTACATTGATCACCAATATGACAAAGAACACAAACATTTTGGCATTAAATGATTCAATTCTTCTACGCACTTTCAAAAATCATTAAGTGTTCTGATAGACATAGACCATTAGACCATTTTGAGGTATATAAACAAAAGCAGTGTTCCCAACGTATTTCCTGTTTTACATTTTTAATTTCTATAGGATCGGAGAATACAAAAAAGCCCCATATTGATAAAAAATGTTAAGATAGCTGTTTAAACATTATGTTATAATTGAATTGTGTCTTGTTACAGTTAGATAACAAGCAGGAAATGTTCATGGGCCAATGACATGACCACATTGAAATGGTCTATATTACATTTAAATGTCGGAAAACTGTACTACATAAACCATCACATCCACCAGTTTTATATTTATGGCTAGAACACGAATTTTAAAGTTTCCCATTTGTATCACAACTTTTAACAATGGAATAAAAATAAAAAAAAAATACGTAGGTATACTGTACATTTATCTACATCTTGAGATTCAAAGACATCAAAGACTCCAAAAGTCCTTTCAAAGTATTGAACAATGAGAAATACGATTAATATAATCAGGCATACATCATCATTGATTTTTAGACCATAAATATGCTAAATTTATCTTTAATAAAATAAGTTAGGTTCAAGAAATTATGAACTAAAGAAAAATATAAAACTATAATGGCTTGTTTATGCCATCTAGAGCCAAGGATTTGAGTTTACTGTATATACCCAAAATGCTTCTCATTTGCATAATTATTGTGATCTGAACACTTTTTCCTATACCTAAACTGTACACTCTCAGAGATAAAGGTACAAAAGATAAGGGGTGTTTTTTTTTTTAAAAGGTACAATTTTGTACTTTACAGTTGCACATTAGTACCTTTAGGGTACACTTTGTACCTTTAAGGTTTACTTTTGTACTTTATTAGGTATTAATATGTACCTTTAAGGACCTGTTAGGAACTAGTTATATCCTAGTGACAGGTGTTGTACCCTTATATTATAAGTGTACTATTCTAATGTCTGGTCACCTAAAAAAAAAAAAATACATATATATATATATATATATATATATATATATATATATATATACAGTAGTGTAGTTTCAGAAGCAGTCTTATTTAATTTATTTAATTTTCTTTACAATTTTGACCAAGCTGGAGTCCAGCTTTCATCGACTGGCTGTCGTAGTGGTTATGCAATTTGCTTATGAAGTTTTCTTAGTGGCTAGTTTAATCCTTAGTGTGCATTATTTAGATCTGCTTATTCATTTATTTATCTATATTGATAGTACTGTAGTAGGAAAATTGTGTGATGTTAATATTTAGCCATATGTAGCCAATTAAGCAAAGCAAACATTTACTTGACGAGAAAATGAGAACAGCAGTGAGCTTCTGTGCTTTTGATTAGCCACACTGAGGTTTGCATGTGATAAAACAATGGATTCTCACAATTCATGTAGTGAGAGATTTTGTTTTTATAATTTGAGAAAACAAGTGTTAAACAAAACCCAGCTTGTGAAATATTTATAATTAAGTCAGTATGAGAGGCAGTATTAAGGAAAACGCCTTTTTAAGGGCTCATGGACAAAGAAAAAGGAGTGCTGTTTGTCTTTTCTTTCAAAATAGATTGTATTTAGGAACATCTTGTACTGACACAAACCTCCTTCTGTGGTTGTTTTGCATACTGATCCTGTGTTTTAGTTATGCAAGAGAAAGTGAAATTATATCAAGCCACAAACTGAACAACTTCATGGATTTTTTTGTTGTTTTTTTTTCACCCAATGTTCTCCGAACCAATAGGTGGCACCGTGTGGCTATTAGCATCGAGAAGAAGACCGTCACAATGATTGTGGACTGTAAGAAGAAGATCTCTAAACCACTCAGCAGAAGTGACCATGCAATCATCAACACAGATGGCATCGCTATCTTTGGCACCAGAATCCTGGACGAAGAAGTTTTTGAGGCAAGCAAAGCTGTTTTATGAAACCCTTGGTATACAGTCCATTCATGTTATCATGATATGAGGTCAAGGAAACTCTCTCTGAGAATTACAATACAACATCTGTCACTTGGCAATACCATTTCTGAACTTGTTTTTAAACATTATGTACACCCTAGTAGAACCGTTAGATGCTTTAGCAGTATCCCTTATTATTTGCTAAAGTGTTCACATTAGTAGTGATGTTACAAACAAAGGTTTTTGAAGCTTTGAATCAACTGAAACATTTGCTTCAAAAAATGATTAACAGTTTTAAAATGTTTAAAACATCACATGGGAGTGATGCTTGTTGGATAATATCGTATAAATTCAATTTAAAAAAATCGAACAAACAGCCGTTGTTGGGCTGTGGTGAAAATTTGTTTGCGAAATCGATTCTATGGATTTCAAAATACATCACAATTCTCTCTTGGGTTTATTTTGAGCTTAGTCTTAAAAAGTAGACGGCGTTCTAGGCTACTTTTAAACCGTACACTCACATGCTCAGGAGGAAGAGAGTTTGTGGGTTCAGCAAAGTATGTAATTTGACATTTATGTCATGAAATTTATGTAAACAAGGTCAGTGTTCAAACTATACCGTGACCTTTGGGGAGCTTTTTTTTTTCTACAGGAGGATGGGGGAGGCGAGAGGTGTGTTGCTTCAATCTTGCGAGTTCCTTGCTACAGTGATGTAGGCTATAAAACACACAAGTTCCTTGTTCTTAAACGGCAATGTATAAAAAAAACCTATATTGTAAAACAAATATGAATATAATTGTAACTAATATTACAAAGTAGACTAAATGAAAAAAAAAAAAACACACACAATAGTTTTGGTTTAATTTCTTGCTAAAGAACGCTTGTTTTCCCATCAATAACTTTCTTTGACCCTTAAAAATATCTTTTGAGGAATTTATTTTTATATGCACAAACAACAGCAGCCTAAACAACAGAACATCATTGTCTAATTTTACCTGCAGTGCTTCTGAGAGGAATTCATTCATTCATATAAAATCAACAAACACGTTTCACATAACAACAAAATAAATGACCTTGTCGTGTAGCCCATTATTCTTCTATTTGCTCTATAAGCTCAAGATGGTGGCATTAAGAACAGCATATGCCTTTTTGTTTTACATTGGGCTATAGAATGTCATGAGATCTCACTTTTCACTCAAGTAAAACACAATCGCAAATTGAAAAATGAAAGAAACACCATTGAAAGGGGCTCTGTTTTGTCAAGCTTACCTGCTTTCAGCCTAATTTTCCAACATGTTTACAGCAATGTAACAGTGTTTAAAAAAAATGCACATTGTATTGGGCCACTGTACACTCTTAGAAATAAAGGTACACGAGTTGTCACTGGGGTGGTACCTTTTCAAAAGGTACAAGTTTGTACCATAAGGGTTCATATTAATACCTCACGAGTACATATTAGTACCTAAAAAGTACAAAAGTGTTCCTTTTAATTTTTTTTTGTACTAATACATACTTTTGAGTTACCAATATGGACTCTTTACATACAAATGTTTATCTTTTAAAAGTGACAGCTTGCTTACCTTTATTTCTGAGAGTGTATGAAGCAAATAAAACAAAACACAAATACACATCATTTGTTTCTGAAAATGAAAAAGAAGTGTCTCAACGTACATATAAAAACATCTGGCTGGTCTTTGACATGACTGGACTTTGCTTTTCAGCGCCCCTACACATTGATGCTCGACAAGGATGGCATGTCTTTTTTTTTAAGTGAGGTGTAAATCTCCATTATGCATGAATGAATGAATGATATTTTTGCACTTTTACACATAATAATCTATGATCACATTACACAATACTAAAACCGCACGTCAAATTAACACATTATGAGTATTTTCCAAAATTTCTCAAATCAGGGGAGCCCATGCTTTATTTAGGGGAGCCGAGCTTCCCCTAGCTCCCCTGTAGTTCACTATGTAGTTTAGCTTTTTAAATTATTATTTTAGGTTCAAGTGGTATTCGTAAAGAAACCGCACCATCCATCTAAGCTCTGCATTGCGTTATGAAAATCTCAAATAAGAAATTCTAAAATTATTTTTCACCACAGCTCTAGCACAGTCTATTGAAAATAGCTGGAAAATCATCTAATATCTTTAAATAAATAAACTTATACTTATTCTACTTATTTATTTTTAAATTTTTTAGGCTTCGTTTACAAAAATTAGATGAATTTCACCTCCCATCGGAGAACAAGTGAAATTTTGTGATTTCCTGTTGTAATTGTAACAAACCTTCATGTGACCTTGGCAGTTTCATGAAGATTTGTGAAACATTTCAAAGCTTTAATGTTACCTAAATTGTACATATATCAAAATGGGGTGAATCAGTATACAGCATTTCCAAGGTACAGCTTCAGAGATTTTCTTCTGAAAATGTAGGAGTTACAGACACAAACGTTGCACTTTATTTCACATTACATGCACTTAAGATGCACTAACAGTACAGTGTACTTCCTAAGAGGTACTGGGTTATATAAGGTAACTACATGTATTAAAGTTAGTTTCAGGGGTAGGTTTAGGGATAGTACCTAGTTATTACCCAGTTTTTGTAATTACTATGTTAAGGATATATTATGTTCATGCGAAATAGCATGCAAGTTAAAGCCCTACTCCCAGAAGTACACTCAGACTATTGGATTGTGTCTGTTCGCCTGACGCTATGTGAAAAAATGTGCCAAATGATTTGATTTACTGCACAGTCAGATGATGTTTGTCAGGGGATGAAGGCTTTTAGTTCACTTACAAATGATGGAGCATGTCATTGGGTTTTATTTCCCCATAAATCACTGAAATGCTGAACGCATGTCAGCATTTCAAAATAAAAGGTCACTCCAGCCAATAAATTTGCATTTAAAGTACTCAGCATATTTTTTATTTGTTATATATTAGTTTAAATGAGACTACTGGGCTTATGAACAAGATGACCTAATATGACTTTTGAGAGATTTAGGCTAGTTTTTGGTTGTTTTTTTTATTCAACAAGAGTTTTTATTCACCATAGAAAATGAATTATACACTTGATTTGACAATCACTTTATCCATTTGGCAAACTATTTTACCCAAAGTAAATTAGACTACATTTAAAAAACTTATTTTAAGTTATATCGGATTTTCTTTGTGAGTTAAACTGTGGTTTTGTTCTCGCTGTGCCCTAATTTTTAGATGCAGGGAAATATCTCTTAATATTTTACAAATACGACAGTGTGACTCAAAATCTGGCCCTTGGTCAATGTGCAGATTCTCTAGCAAACCATAATAAACCATAAAATTGGGCCCAGAGGCACCTGGCTACCGTCTATGTCTTCTAGTTCTTGTGTGGGAACTGCAAGAGGGTACTTTTTAAAATGATCTGTAATTACCAAAACCAATGTCTTCTGAGAAAAAGATCCGTGTAACCCGAGTTTCAGAAAAGAACTAAAAGTTTTCTATTTTTCATTATTAAATGTTATAGATGCTTGTTCTCACCATATGCCAATTACTGTCTCATTTTACTATCTCAAAGGAGAGTTTGAAGGAAAATCTGAGCCCAAATTTGTACCTCACAGTGTAACACTGAGGTACACATATCCTCATTTTATACTGTAAAACTCAATAAAAGTAAAGTAACAGCATCCTACAAGCTAAGCTTCCAAATATTTCATTCATATTTCTATTTTCTCTATTAAGCAATCCTTTTTAGTGCTGTATGGGCGATTGCGAGACAATATCTGCAGAGTCTGTCTTTGATGTGAGCTGAAGGAATGTTGCTTAATCAGAACAGCATGCTAAATTTTGCCTCAGGTTAGAGATGTCGTAGAGCACAGAAATCTTTTGAAATTTTGATCCCGTTTCTTCCTCTTCCCCGCTCACCCCAGTGTTAGTCAGAGGGTTGTGATGAGCCTGCAAAATCTATAGCCTGAGAGGTAAATCTGCCAAAGGTAATGGGCTCATTTTCAGCAATCGCTTAGCATCTCGTCTCTCAACTCTTCCACCCATTGTGCGATTGCCCATAATGTTGGAAACTATCCCAAATATCGCTGCCCAGTAGTAAACACAGATGTTTCAATCAAGAGAGTTGCTCTTCATACATCATTGGGTTATGAAGAAAGCAATATATTGACAAACGCTTTGCTAGTACACTCAAAAAATGACGATTGTTGTTTGTTCTTATTACTACTTGTATATATATATGAGCTGAAACAACACAAATTTTGAGGGTTTTTTATGTTCAGTCTACTTAAATTAGTTCTTCCATGTTGCCTCAATACAAATTGATTGTGTGAAACCCAACATGTTTTACAGTGTAGGTCTTAGAGCTGGGCAGGATCTTGGGATTTTTGTCTTGTTTTCAAGTTATGGTTTTGTGTTTGGATATATTGGTGTGTTCAAAATAGGGCTGCACAATATATAGTTTCGGCATCGATATTGTAATGTGTGATTCTGCAATAGTCACATAACAGGGATCTGCAATGTAGTTGCGATTTTACACTAGCTGAGAAAAGTCTTGTCGTCGATCCAAGTTGTAAGGGCAGCAAATAAGATGCTGTAAGATGTAGGAGGCATTGAAGAGGAATCAAAAGTATCTAGATGAACTCTGGGAGTCCTGCAAGAACGTTCGAGGTTACAGAAGTAACCCTGCGTTCCCCGAGGAGGGGAATTCTAGTGCTATAAGTGGATTTAATCTTTGTGAAAATCCACGTATGGGAGGTTTCGGATCAGAAGCTGCTTGTCTGAAGAGTATTGAACGAGCCAATGAATGAAATGAATTGGCAGCGTAAGCTTGCGCTGGAGCGAGCAAATGCCATCCTTTTAAGCTGAAGTGACTTTCAAACAGCTAAGGGACAGTCATTATGGCAACGGAGTATAGCACTTCCGTTCCCCTCCTCGGGGAACGAAGGGTTACTTCTGTAACCTCGAACGTTCCCCTTCGGTTGGGGAACTCCAGTGCTAGAAGTGGATTTGATCTTT